GGAAGTGGCAGCTGATAGGGGCAGGGGTGTCTTTCAGGACTATGTGATCACTCTCTGCTGAACAGGGAGAGAACAGAAAGAGGAAGGAAACTATAGAAGCAATATGACAAGGGTGGGGCTGGCTCGGGGAGGAATTCATAGCATTTAGCTGATCAACAATTGAATCCTACAAAAGCCCATTTCAAATCTCACCTTTAGGGTTTCCTTAAATTAAATGCAAATTCAGCTGACTTTTTTTTTTTTAACCAGAGAGAAGGGGGGAGAGAGAGAGAGAGAGAGAGAGAGAGAGAGAGAGAGAGAGAGAGATATGAAAGAAACATAGGCAACCTTTTTGTGCACAGGACAATATTCCAACCAACTGAGCCACCCAGCCAGGGCTAGCTGACTTCTTATCATGGATGATTAGAAACGATTTAGCCAAGGATTCTTAACCAAGTGTCCATGGACCAGGGGGTGATCAATGCATGGACTTCATGACATCTCATGATGCCTGAAATTATAATAAAAGTGTGTGTGTGTGTGTCTGCATGTGTGCCCATATGCATTTTTCTGGGGAGAAACTCTGCAGTTTTCATTGTATTTAAAAAAAAACAGGCACACACACAAAAAAAAACAGTGACCCATAAAAGGTTAATAATTACACTAGTTCAACCCCTCACATTATAGGTGAGGAAATTGAATCCATAGAGAAACGTGGCTGCCTGAGATCTCATAGTCAAGATCAAAATCCAGGTTCCTTGATACCATCCTCCCCTGACTGGTCCCCTGAATCAGGATCCAGCTACAGTTTCCCATGCCCTCCTCTTGGCTCGCAGGATCTGACTGAACAGACTGGAGGCTTTCAGTGGCAGTGGGCCAATGAGAGCTCACTTCCAGACATGCCTGTTCCCAGGAGGTCTTGTAGGGGAAGACTCATGGGGCATCTCCTGACTCACTTCCTTAAAGGGCATGTTAGCTCCACATGTTAAATCCACCTCTTGTACCTTGATGCTCACACCTGGCAGGAAGTGCCCCTGCCCCTTCTGACATTGGGTCTGGAGAAAACTACTGGTAAATGGTGCCCTGGGGGAGGAGGGAGTCTTTGGAAAAGTATTTGATGGATAGGCAGGAAGTCATAGCTAACGGTAAGAGGTTGATGCTGGTCCACGGTATGTGGGAGGAATTCAACTCAGGGGAGTTTCGATGAAGTGGCACGTGAGGATTAAACATGATAACGAACATTCACTGAGCACTTCCTATATGCCAGGCACTTTTCTAAGAAATGTGAATGTATTAATTCCTTTAGTCTTTACAATAACCACGTAAGGTTGTTGTAAGGAAACTGAGGCCCAATGAGATTAAGCACAGCTAGTAACGGCTGAGTCAGGCCATGAGGCCAGATCTGCCGACTCCAGTCGCTCTGGAACCAGCGTGGGCTCCTTGCCTCTGTGCTGGTGGAGCTCACACTTGAGTGTGCCCCAGAGTCATGAGAGGATTTATGAAAGCGTAGGGTGAAGATACTACTCTGAACCCCCAGTTTCTGATTCAGTAGGTCTGGGGTGGGGCCTGAGGATTTGCACAGTTCCCGGGTGATGCTGCTGTCTTTCAGGGACCACACTTTGAGAGCCCTTGCTTTCTGCTCTCCTGCTTCCTCATAGGAAGAGATGAGCAGAGGAAAGAGAAGTGGTCATTGATCTCTCTTGTGTTATTGCAATGTTCCCCCTGGGTCCAGGCCTCGGCTACCCTCCTGTCACCTACGCTTCACTGGGGACAAATTAATCTTCCTAAAGCCGGCTCTGATATGTCACGCTTCTGCTCAGTCTTCTGGGCTCTCTGCTGTATGTACTAGTGCAGTCCAGTAGAACTGTCTGCAGCGACGGAAGTTTCTTTATCTGCACTGCCACTATCCACACGTGGCTATGAATTTACCTTTTCTCAACTTTAGTTAATTTAACTTTAGTCACATGTAGCTCGTTGCTCGTCAGTGCAGGAAACCACTTTGTATGCCATTCGAGGCTCCCGTGTGCCTTTCCAGCCTCGGCCTCAGCCTCATCCCAGGCTGTAGGCTGAGGTGTTTCCTGAGTCGCGCCTGCACTTCCCAGCCCTTGTTTCTATTAGCTCCTCCGTCTAAACTGTGCTTTAGTCCTGCCTTTGATGCTCAACCCAAATGCTACCTCTGCCTGGGAACCTTCTTTGACACCCGCTCCCCTATAACCTCTTTCTCCTCTGAACTCCTAAAACACTTTATCCTTTTCTTGCAATCTTTAGTCCCTTTTGCCTTCTATTGCAGCTGGCTGGTGGCAGTGCTTTTAAAAATATATATATTTTCATTAATTTCAGAAAGGAAGGGAGAGGGAGAGAGAGATAGAAACATCAGTGATGAGAGAGAAGCATTGATCAGCTGCCTCCTGCACACCCACACTGGGGATCGAGCCCGCAACCCGGGCGTCGAACGGTGATCTCCTGGTTCATGGGTTGGCACTCAACCATTGAGCCACGTCGGCTGGGCTGATGTCAGTGTTTTACTTCTTTCCCTAAGCTGTGAGTTTTCGGAGAGTGTGCCTGTCTTCCAGCTGTCCCTGTTCCCTAGCACAGGTCCTTCCAGGTGCACGGAGGAGCTCCCTAAATCCCACAAACCTTTGTCCTGGTGCATTGGGGAAACAGATGGATAACATGTCCTTCCTGCTCCCAAGCTGCCACAGGCCTCACAAGAGTCTCCTGATTCACACCCAGAGAACCATGAAAGCCAATGGTTATTTTGGGCAGGAAGATAAAAGCCACAGTGGGCCCAGTTGGTGAGGGGAGTCCGGCACTAGCTGCCCAAGCAAAAGGCTGTGTTTACACACACAGGCAGCTTCTCTGCCCAGCCTGGCCTGGTACGAGGCGATGGGAACATCCAGACCTTGCTGCCTGGCCACCTTATGAAGTTGGGGATTAACCAGTGATGCAGCAGCTGGTCCAGCCGTCTGGTCCACACAGATGGGTGGATGAGGAGAGGGCTGCAAAGACCGCAGAGCAGTGCAGGCTTCTGGAAATGGTCCTTTGGCTTCGTGGCACCTGGACTGGGAATGCAAATACAAGAATGTGTATGTGCTCTGAGCAATGGACAGGCAGCAGGTGAAATTTTGCCCTGGCTAGGAAATTTTTGAGTTCTTAGAGCAGTCTCTCTTGACACGGAAAGATGATTGAAAAGAAAAATCAAACAGCTTTCTGGCTTCAGACTAATACTAAGAGTATTTAATACCCCCAAAACTTCTAGCATAGACTCATCTCTGGGACAGAACATTAAAAAAAAATAAAACTTTATTGAAGTTATAATATAGATTCAGAAAGGTACACAGACCATAAGTTTACATATATTTGTATAACTACCCCTCCGCCCCCACCAGCAAGAACTGAAACAGCCAGCATATCCATAGTAAATGTGTGTTACAGCAAATGTATGTAGGATTAATGGTGGGAACGGGCTTTGCAGTCAGGAACACCTGGGATTGAATCCTGCTCCCCGCCCCTACCCACTAGCAGTGTGAACTTAGACAAGTGACTTAACTGTTCTAAGCTTCAGCTTCCTCTCCTGTAAAATCGAGGTGGAATATGTCATCTCTGCCTTACAGAGCAGTGAGAAATTAAAAACGGAAAATGTATGCAAATTGCTGGGCACAGCTCCAGCACGTCATGGGGTCTCACGCTCTCTGCGATGATAATGTTGATGGATGGTGTCGCTGCAGCCTCCCCGGCACACGGGGCCCTCGGCATACACGCAGAGCTTTGCTTCTTTGCCTCTCACTGCTCTCAGCCTTTGTATGATACTCTCTACGGCCTCTTCTGACGGCAAGGAATCTGTAATTCTGTGATGATGCAAATCTCAGCTGACACTCCAGTCACCTGATGGGAGGATGGGTGGACGTCTGTATCCAGTGGGAATGTGGCCAGATCTTTTGTATTCAGGCCCCAGGAGTATGGCTCCCAGACCTCCTAGGGGAGGACTGATTTCCCTGTGGCAGTCAGAGTGGAGTGTAGCCAGGTGGAGTCGGATTCAGCAGAACTCAGCCCTGGGAGTGTCCTGGCACCCTGGTGAACGAACCCCTGACTCCAGCTTGCCCCCTGGCCTCTGGCTCTGGGAGTGCAGATGTGTCCCAGGGGGCATACACTGTGCACATATTTTGAGCTGGGCACTGCACTGGGTAGGGCTAGAGGGCAGAGGGCAGGAAGGAGGGGAGAGGCCAAGCCGTTCCTTCCAGTTGGGAGGGGTCATTGCAAAGAGGAGGGGCTCCGGAAGGACTTCCTGGAGGATGGCTGGAAGAATGGCTATGGGAAAGGGAAAGAGGATCTCCCAGGAAGAGGAAGAAATGTGCAAACACAGAGAGGCAGGGCCATGCTGTACCCTTGAGGCCCAGAACCATCCAGTTTAACAGAGTTCCCCACACAGCCTGAGGATGTGGCTGAGGAGTCAGGTGAGACCAGGCTGTGAATGGTCTGGAGAGTCAGGCCAAGGTGTTGGGCTTGCTTTACCAGAGAACGGGAGCCGCTGAAGGTTCTTGCTTTGAGAAAGCAGAACAGAACCAGATCCTCAAGTTGCTCAGTGGAGACCCACAGTGTTCTTGGCCAAAGATGGTGGCCTAACGTTCAAGCCACTGGAATGGGCTGTAGGAGCCTCTGGGATGTCCAGACATGTGCAGCATGTGGGGATGGGAGTGTGGGGTGTGGGTGGCGGGCTGTGGGTACAGAGGAGGAGGGGGAGGGAGAAGGAGGGAGAGAAAAAGGAGGGGGAAGGGTAGAGGGAAAGGCAAGGCTCCCATCTTTGAAAGGCTGCAGTCTTGTTGGAGAAGCCAAAGAGCTTCATGACAATTGAGCCCCAGATTCAGAAGTGGAGATGAGTTGTGGGGCCAGCAGGGTCAGGATGGTTGGAGCATGGGTGAAGGCAGGGGAAGGAGGGGGGAAAGGGGATGAAACCTCTGGAAGCTTTGGAGAGACTGAGGGCACCGCATGCTAACCCCTTTGTGGGTATTATGTCCTCCTAGGAGCTCTGAGATGTGGTTCTGATGTTATCCCCGTTCTACAGAGGTGGGAACTGAGGCTCAGAGAGGTTAGTGCTTTGGCCAAGGGCACACAGCTCCTGTACTATTAATGAACCTCCCCCATCCCTGCCTCTAGTGCCCTCCCCCGAGGTAAATGTTGCACTCAGGAGCTTCAACACCACCATAGTAGATATGGAAAAGTGTAGCTTTGTCGTCATTCCACGCACAGTATGACCTAATGCAGGAGTGCGTGGTTCCCACGCTCTGGGTTGGCAGGTCCCTGGGGATTGCAATGCTCCCTGGAGGGGACTGAGGAGAGGATGTAGGGGCCGCTGGAGGGAGAGGTCCCGACCAGCTGGGTGTTACACCTGTCCACCCTGCCTGCTCCCTTCAGAGCAGCTGCCCGAAGGGCCTTCCAGAGAGTGTCAAGGACTAGTGAGAGTAGCCTTGCCTGGCAGAACTTCCCAGGCTCGTGGGTCATGCTGCTCTGGAAAGTTTGGCTCTGGTAGCTTCCTCCGGAGGCTGGCCCAGCTCTCTGCTGCCTGGGGCTGCAGCTCAGCCCACCCAGGCCTTACAGCCCTCTGGGGCCAAAACCAAATGCCCTGCAGCTCTCTTGCCCTGGAATACCCTCTTCTCAAGATCTTGCCTTTGTCCCAGCTCCATTTAGGCAGCCCCTCCTCCTGGAAGCCTTTTCTGAGCCCCATGGGCTGGGTTAGGACATATTGCGTGGAAGCCTGTGTGATCAAAAGAAATATAATGTGCCCTTTACATGCGAGCCACTTATGTAATTCAAACATTTCTAGGAGCCACATGAGGAGAAGCAAAAAGAAACATATAACATTATTCTAATGATGTATTTAATCCAATACATCCAAAATACAAAAAATATTAATGAGATACATTACATTTCTTTCATTAAATATTTAAAATCTAGTGTGTGATTTGTACTTACAGCTCATCTCAATTTGCAAGTACCACATTTAAGTGCTCAGTAACCACTTGTTATTAGTGGCTACCATCGTGGGCAGCACAGTTCTAGAGTCAGGGAGAAGAGCTCAGGGTTTGGCATCAGGTAGACATGGCCTGCCATTTATTGGCTGGGTGAACTTTGGGATGGCGTTAAACCCTCTGTTACTTCACCTGTGAAAGGAGTAAATAATTTCGATGCTGGAGAATTGTTGTAAGGATTAAACAAATGACTGTGTCTGGTGCCAGAATAAGTACTCAGAAAATGATGGTGCTTCCTCTTACAGGAGCCTCTGGTTTATAGGCCATGCTCCCCAACTGGACTGATTGTGAATACAAGGGTGGAGGCTACCCAAATTCTCTCTCCTTCCTCAGTGCCCATGTCCAGTGTGAACGTCACTACTTGCTGAATGAAAGATTAAATCCTTGGGCTAAGAGTGCTTGCCACTCCCCCTGCCCACCCAGGAATCAAGGGACCCCTGGTGACTGGGAGTCAAAGACCACTCAATGACTGCATGGGGTGACCTTGGCAGAGACCACTGACTACATGGGGTGACCTTGGCTAGTCTCTCATTCCAAAGATAAAAGGGGGGTGGAAGAGGCAATGCATGAAGTGTTTGGTTTAGTCTCTGCTCCACCGGTAGCCTTGGGGGGCTGTGGCTCACACTATGTGCTTTGCCTTTCCAGCCAATGGACTGAATCATTTCCATCCTTTTTCTGGCTTTCCTCTATCCTGACACTTTTGTACCATCAAGAATTTCTCCTACATTCTAGGCAGACCAGAGAGGGATAAGGGATCCTGCCTTCATTTGCTGACCTCCCCATCACAGCAACCCCCTGACAGAAGTAGGGCAGGGAGAATTTCTCCCATTTTATAGGTGAGAAAACTGAGTCTCAGAGAGGCCAAACAATCTGCCCAAGTAACACAGAAAGAGATGATAGAGCCAGGGCCGGAAGCAGAATTCAGAACTAACAGACCCGAAGAGACCCTCTTCGTTAGGAGAGGTGAGGGGTTCCTCTTCCTTCTTGCATTTGTCCATGGCGGCTTTCATGAGATAGGGCCCTGGGCTGGGTCCTGTTTCTGTGCCTGTTTCCCTGCCTATGGAATGAAAGCAGCCAAGTAACTGGGGTAATGATTTTAACTGATGCGCATAGGGTCGTGTGTTCTTCAGAGAGTGCCCCCAGCTCCCTCCCTCTCCCCAACCAGATTTCTCTAGAAAAAGTTATTGTAGGGTAAAGTGGAAAGTAGCTGGTCCAGAAAGCCCGTGTTCCAGTGCGGTGTAACCTTGGACAAGTCACTCACCACTCTGGGCCTCAGCCGACCTGTTTATAAAATGAGGGGTGATCGATCTCATAAGATGTGAAGATTGCCATGAACATACTTTACATACTAGAAAGTGCTAGAGAAATGTTAGTCAATAATTAATAATAATAATAATAATAAAAAAGAAATAATGATAATAGAAGCAACCTAATTTTTCTGTGTGGTCCCTCTATCCCGAAGTAAAATGGGCTCTTTGGGTATTAATCCAGAATGATGTCTGGGAACGTCCTGCCTTGGTCTTTGGAATGTAGCCTGGATTTGTCTGGGAAAGTGAGAGGCTCTATCCAGCTGAGGAGGGTGGGAAAGTGGCCCTGCCCCAGGGGAGGAGGGGGAGGGCTCCTGCTGGGGGGAAGGAAGGGAAGGGGGTGGGTCCAAGGAAGGAGAGTTGATGGAGGAAGAACCAAGGGCTTTGGCCAACCAGCTCTGTCCTGCCCACAGGAGCCCAGAGTTGGGAATGCCAGCAAGCAGAGGAAGCTGAGTCAATGTGGAATAAAAATTCTTGAAGGCAGGCGGTCAAGAATCTCTTAGCAAATGTGCATATGAAACAATCCGTTCATCTGGTGTAACTCCTGGGTTTTCTGATCCTTTCACTCATTCATATGAATAAATGTAGAGTGAACTGAAATGTAGAGTGAATAGAGCACCCGCAGTGGCAGCGTGGCTTGCCCAAGGCCACGCCCCTGCGGGCTGGGGGAGTTCCTGGGAAGAACTGAATTTGAGAGTCTGGGGAGTGCAAAGTGCAAAGCACAGGAGGAAATCTGTGAGGAAGTTTGCCCAGCAGGACTCTGCTGTTCCTGTGAATTGGCCCGGGGCTGACTTTGCCATCTTCCTGTCTCCTGTCCGGAGGGAGGGCTTGTTCTCTGAGACTGGGGAGGAGCTGGCTTCCTTCTGCTCTGCCCACTCCTGAGCCTAGTGGGCAGCAGGGAGAGTGAAGGGACCGGAAACTGTCTTGGGAACATCTGGAGGAGTTCATTGTGTATAAGTTGGAGAAGGGAAGGCTTGGTTCATGGGTGGGGAGAAGGGACACAGTTGCTGTCTTGGGTTCTCTGAGGGGTGCTGAGGAGAGGGCCTAGCCTGGTTTTGTGGAGGCCTTAGTGTTGGCACCAGGACCGAGGGTGGAATGTCACCATGATGGAGCAGCCACCTTGGGAGGGAGTAGTGAGGGGAGGAGTTACCTGCCCTGGAGTATGGGAGTAGAGATGGATTCTGTTGAGGTTGACACGGAGGGAACTGCAGCATGGAGGACAGAGGGCTCAGCTCACATTTCCCCAGCGTTGGACATCTGTGGTCTCCAGGTGGTGGATTCTGTGGTGCCTAGAACTATAGCTGGCACTAATAGGTACTCAGGAATTATTTGAAGAATTCAAAGAATAAATGTATATGCCAGGGGGTGGGGATGGTTAGGGAGTAGGGGTCATGTGGGCTACAAATGCGGACCCATGGGCAGAAACTTTTAAAGATCATGCTGTGGGTTATGTACCATCTTCTCCGGGCCCTCCTGTAGAGAACTGGGGCCCCTAGAGATTGGTACATCCAGCCCTTTCTTTCATTGTTTGCAAATTGAGGAGAGCAACTTGCCCAAAGGAACCCAGGCCCTCTTGCCTCCCAGGGTCCTCTGCTGTTTGAGGTCCTGGCCTGTTGATTGACAGAAGTGGGGGTGCAGTGTCTGGGACCTGCTTTTTGAGTTAGCGCTGCTGGAGGGGAGGAACGGGGCTTCACTTGGTTTTGAGCCATGACCTCGGTGCCCCAGGCCCCTTGGCTCCTACCACCTGCCCGGAGCCTGTGTGCACACCCAGCATGTGCTCACACACGTCTGTACCCGGGCCCAGTCCCCCCTTATGGTCACTGTCACCGAAGCACATATGGATAAATGTACACGTACACACACTCAGACACACAGGATCCCAGGAGACATTTGCACATGCCTCCTCCCTCATAGGGGTGGAGCCCTGAGTCCCGGGGAGACTGCCCTGCTGTGCTGCCTGGGCGGAGAGGGTATCTGGCTAGGTGGGCTGGGAGGCCCACTGAGACTGAGTCACCCCTTCTGAGTCAGGGGCCCTCCCCCTCCCTCTAACCTTCCCCCTCCGCTCTCCTTCTCTCTGTCTGCGGAGCCCCTAAGAGGGCTTGGCCCAGCTGGGAGGGTTGAGGCGGGCCTGGGCGGGTGTGGGGACAGCGGAGACCCAAGCGTTGGCTTCCGATGCAAGGTCCCGCAGAGGTCCGACTGCAGCTCTGGCATCCGCGGAAGGAGGTGGCCCGGGAGCCTGAGCGATAGAAAGGGAGAGGGAGAGGGAGAGGGAGAGGGAGAGGGAGCCGGCGAGAGGAGGCGGAGGCAGGGGCAGGGCGGCCCGAGGGAGCAGGCAGGCGCGCAGCGGCGCTCCTCGGCTGGGCTCGGAGGCCGGGCGGGGGCGGGGGTGGCCGCGCGTTGGGCGCCAGGCCCGGGGCTGTGGGCACAGTGCCCAGCCCCCGGCGCACGCTGAGCCGCCGCCACCGCTGCTGCAGTCGGCATCCATCAGCGGGCGGGGGTGTCACGGAACTGGCTGCTCCGAAGAGCCCGCCGCGTCTCTCGCGCGGCTCCGTCCCAAGGCCTGCCACCCGCGGAGCCGAGAGGGCGCCCCGCACCCAGCCTGCCCGAGATGGGACTCCCAGGCTCAGGTAGGCACCTGGGGGAGGTCAGGTAGAAGGGGGTGGGGGTGGCTCGGCACTTGTAGGCCCAGACTCCACTGTAGGGGGAGGACTGGGGGCGAGACGGAGAGGAACTGAGTTTTCGGCCGCTGGCCC